CCCCAAAACCCCAAAACCCCATCAATAGTATATGATAAAATACTGAGTGATAAATAAAATTTGATTATAATATTATTATTCAAATATTCTAAATATACATATTAAAAACATTATCCATTTCTGAGGTACTTGCTAGCACTATTATTATATATCATTCCAAAGAACTAGCATTGCTATTCCTTCAAGACTTATGAATTGCTTCCCTTCATTAAATATCAGATGCTATGAGAAGCAGTAAATTATTTCAAGTGCTGGGAAGTGATAAAGCTTTGATATGCTTATGATTCTGAAAAATTAGGGGCCTGAGTATGTAAAATTGGTTAGTGTCACACATCTTGCAGTATATCAGAAAAATTAAACTGACTGATTCATCACTAGAGCTCATTTGAGATTGATTAATTCCTAATAGGGATATTTCTTGGACTGTTAGTGTAATCTTATATTTGTATAATTTCCAGTAATTCTACCCTTAAAATGCAGTGTCTGCCTTTTTTAGAAGAGGCTTATCACCAATTATCCACTTAATCTAGTATGTCTGGAAAGAATAAAATTTAGATGCTCCACCAACAATAATTTATATTTAGAAACTAGCTGATGTTTCATGTTACTTTAACTAACCTGACTAGCCCTTAACTGAAAGATATAGTCGCTGGTCACCACAGATAATTTCCTCAGTATTACAGCAGCTAAATTCATCTAATATAGTATTATAAGAAGCCCCTCCTTCTAATAAAGCTCTCGCACTCCACTCCCGTAAATTATACTATCCTAGACTCGATTCCGTTATTTAGTTTCTATAATATTTGCTATCATGAAAAACACAGTTTATGATACTTAACTAATGAGCCACGGTTCCTGGGAATGAGTTGTAACCTAGAGCTGTTACTAAATTTTCTGAATAAGCTCTATAGCGCAAATATATATACTTTTGCCAGTAATAAGTACTAACAGGCATTTCAGCATTATATGCAGAAACATTCGATCCTAAAAGTGGACCTGACTAGAATGCTAAGGCAAAGTTCTAGACCATTTTGCTAATACTATGATTTTTTAGCCAGAGCGACAGCAAAGGTCCTTCCCCATCTTGGTAGTCAAAAGTGTCGAACTCATCAACACCTGGTGTCACAATAGATTATCGCCTACTGTAGCCTACGGCCTAAGCCTCGCTCATTCCGCTAGCTCTTAATCGTCCCACAGAGAGATCAGGTATATTTTCAGTAGTAATTAAAAATCTAGCATGACTCGTTTATTGCAATACTTCTATGGGTTCCATGGGATAGCATTAGTCATTTTTTATTCCAACATTCTGAGGTATACTTAATCGAGCCCTTACGCCGTCACCACCAACATGTATTGGCACTATGACTTCATATGCTCCCAGCTTCGTTAAATCGTATACAAAAGAAATATCTATGTCCAGCGAGTAGGAGGCGTAGGGAGGTAATTGCAAGTAAGCTCGAGGATGTAATAGAGCTCTTTTAGCAAAAACGCCATCATATGGGATGATTCTATTTTAGTACTTGACTGTCAAGCATTAGGGTGATAGAAGACCTTCAAGCAATGTATACGATTTCAAAACATCAACAGAGTATGGGTTAGGATTGCTCACAGTATAAGTTACTATATGTTAAAGAGAAATCCTCAAAAGTAGAAGCAAGATAAAGAGTTTAAGCTTCATTCAAAGTTGTAAATATAAAATTAATTATAAAATTGAATAAATGGCAAATTTCTTTACTTTAAGGGGCTAGTAAAGTCCAAAAGCAATAGACAGATCAAACTATAATAATGATTAGCAGTAAACTTATGAATAGAATGTAACAGCAGATAATCTATTTGCGTTCGATGATCCATCTTATCACTTGAATTAAGGAGCACCTTAAAACCATTTATTTCAAGGATAATCAGCTGTTTATGGCTAACCTATTTTATACAATAACTAAAGAAATTAGTATCAATTAGAAAGCGATTAACTATAAAGATTTAATGTCTTGCCCAAGAAATCTAAATTATTAAATAAGACAGATAAGTATGTTACTAAGAATGTTCACTTCACAGATGAATCTTCTCCTATTAATTCGAATGCTGAAATAGTAAAAGTAACTACCAAATTGCAATAAGATAATCTTTCAACGCAAAACTAAGAAAGCCAGCAATATTATAAACATAAGAAACTGAAAGGCAGGTAGATCTTCAGGAATATGAGATACCCTTGTCAGGGTTTCTGTGATAGATGTAAAAATAGCTCAATGACTATAACTAACTTAGAATGTACAACTAGATAATGGGTATATTGCACGCTTTTGACCTGTACAGGATGTATTTGGTTTTCATGTGTGCCCTTTATTCATCATGATTGCTATAATATTAGACATAACTGCGGTGTCTGTGGAAAATATATTGGTGAAAGTAAATGATGGTGATTATATCTATGAGAGTGTAATCAAATGTTAAGAATTAAAGTATGAAATTTTGATAAGATATTTTGATTATTTGTTTTAAGTTATCTATTCTTAAGTTAAACGGGGTTTTGGGGTTTTGGGG